GTACATTTTGCCACGTTAGCGTAACCGTTATGTGAACACCCTGTATACCTACAAACGTGGTGTATTATGCCTGAGATCGAATGGCATTAATCTTTTCAATAGCCCTGAGAAAAATAAAAAAGAATTGACGGATTGATATGACAACTTCGCCAAAAACACGCCGCCGTTATACGCTTTTCTCAAGTAGTTTTCATTAGACAGACGTTGTTTTTGTGTGTTTGAATAAACTTTAGCATTTTTAATTGATATCTACCATGACATCTGAAGGTTTGACGTATATTTTACCGGATCAATTTCGATTTAGTGTAAAATTAGTTTTGGTTTAAGGTAGCATTATTTATGCTGAACTAAAAGAGCAGAAGATTGCGACGCATGGATTTCAGAATTTTCGCGACTAAATTCAGTTGCCTGGATTGTACGGCGAACTTTTATTTTGTTCTTTCCGTATTGGACAGGCTGTACGGAGGTGGCTTTGGCACAAAAATCACGCAGTTTCCAAAGAAGATCGACCATTATTATACAGGATGGCGCACCTCATTTGCCTCGGTTAATGAAACAAAAAATTTTTATGGGTATATGTATGTAGAGAAACAATGTGCATAATTTAAAATTATTTTGAAATGTACAGGGTGTGTTAGAACTAAGATCCATACTATTCATTTTACAGATACAGATACATACTATTCCATTTTATTTCATTTTTGGATTCTTGGGCTTAAAATAAGGCATTTATTATAAGGGTTTAATATGTTTAGATGCTTTGGTTTTTGAGATATTTAAAGACATTTAAATATGCATGCTCTAATAAAAAAGTTTGTGAACACCCTGTATACATTACTTTTCAGAGTTTATTCTTGTGGTGACATTGAAGCCAGAGAAATTAACTTTACTAAAACAATGTATTGCTTTCTTAAATGTATACACGGGTATCAAAAATTGCTGGTCTATTTTAAATATTTATTTTACATAAAAACTTCGTTATTTCTATGTATGATTTTTGATACCCCTGTATACATTTAAGGAAGCAATCAAATTTTTTAATAAGGTTTATTTCTCTGGCTTGAAAGTCAGCACAAGAATTAATTCTGAAAAGTAATGTACAAGGTGTTGACAAACTTTTTTATCATAGCATGCATATTTAAATATCTACAAATATCTCAAAAACCAAAGCATTTAAACATATTAAACCCTTATAATAAATGCCTTATTTTATGTTCAAAAATCCAAAAATGAAATAAAATACCTGGTGTTCCATAAGAAAAAATTTAACTTTGGTATGGATCTTAGTTCTGACACACCTTGTACATTTCAAAATAATTTTAAATTATGTACATTGACCACATATCTTACACATGTCTGTGTTACAGAGACGCCATGACACACGGAAATCAAACAAACAATTTTTCGGAAGTGTCAGACTAATATTTTTATAAAAGAGGCGTTTTCTTAACATTTCACGCTGGTCCTAAAAAGAGGATCAAATATTAAATAGGATAATTCTGTGGTCATTCCTAAAAATCAAAGATTTTAATAATGGCGTTTATAACATGTTAGTGTAATCTGCATTGTCCTTAAAACATTTGCATGATGCTGGAAAGAATATGGCAGAACGTACCACGTTTTAGTCACGGTTGGCAAAACGCACCAGAGTTTAGTCTCAACCAATGAGAGCAGGGAAAATCACATTATGGACTATACAGGCCCGGCAATTAATCTCTAGGCATAGGAATTACATGCATTGGAATGAAACGCCTATAAAAGTCTATGCTTAAACAGAGATGGACAACAACTTCCCCGTTTCCACTTCCACTACGACTGTCTACTTAGACAAACTCCAATAAGATAACAAATTTTGGAAATTCCGCCACCTCCCATCCACTCATGATACCCATCCCCCCGCCCTTTATTTATCGCCATTATTTTATTTCCCTTCCCGCGCCTCCGCAGCTCGCTATTCCGTCACCCGTCAGTTTATCACAGAGTTGCCAGGTCTACCGGTTTCGTCTGTAAGCTGCCGATCTACCGATTTAAAGAAAAATCTAACGATATGTTCAACTGCGTCTTTAGTTTTTACAATAGAAGCACTTTTAAAAAGCTGACTTATTTCACTAAAAATTAAGCGACTGCCGCGTTGGAATCTGTGTAATCTGACTTTATTATTGTTTCATTAAATTTTATTTAGTAATAACACACATACAGATCATCGTTCTGTCTAGTTGCAGCGTTACAGAGATATTCCTAAAAATCCTTATTACTCCTTATTAGGCGCGGTATTGGCGACATGCCCGATATTTTTTTTAATATCAAATAATATACCTAGTTATTTCTAATTCTTTTTATATTTATTATATTTGTATTTTATTTGAGTGATCTATTATTGCGACACATAGAAATGCTAATTTTGGACTTGAATATTATATTTTGTATTGTTTCTGTGCTTTTGATTTTTGTTGAAGATCTACCGAGAATTTTGTTCTCGTATAGAATTATAATCTAACAAACCCGGCAACCCTGTTTGCCTACTCCTTATAAAGTTTTTTCGGCCTAATTCCTTTATCACCGCCGCGCCGCCGGCGACCGACGGTGTCGGGGCGACTGCTAGGAAGATCGTGCAGTATTGCTATTTCATAGAATTGCACTTGCTATTTTAGAAATGATTTCAAAGTTTTGCATGTTACTTTTCGTTTTAGAAAGAATTGTTATTAAGTTATGTGCCTAGAGAAAACATTCTTAAAATTGTTTCGTACTTTATTTAATATTTCATTAAGCAAGCAAGATAATGGGATCAGAAGATTTGGGATTTGGGATAAGCCAACATAATTTCGATTTAATTGAATGGCAACACTGTCCGTCCTGTTTCTATTTTTTCGATTCTATTCTATTAGTAGGCAGTAGCCCCCACACAAGCGTCTTAAAGACCCGCCCGGCGCCCCCTCTTGCAAAGGCTCTCTCGTCGTATCACTTCTATGATCACTTCCCCTATACGATGGTAGGGAAAAGACACTTTATCCGTCTCTGTTGCACTGCAATGTTTTTTGCAGCCTTACCATCTTTTTTTATTGCATTGAAAACCTCCTATTGCTAATGTTCCTTTGCCAGCAGTGTATAATGGTACATTTTGCTTAAATGCGACCCGGCAACTTTCCTGGAGAGACTTGAAGAAATTTGTACGGCACAAAACATTCAGCTAGATCGGTTATTGCCACAGCTACCCGAAGTTCTACAAGGAGAAGCTACGCTCTGGTACCGCAATAACCGAGACAATTACAGGAACTGGGAAGACTTTACAAGAGAATTTAGGATTTTCTACTATCCTGTTAATTATGAAGTCGATTTGGAGGCCAAAATAAGTCGTCGAGTACAGCGAACAAATGAATCTGTCATAGCGTATATCACGGACCTTCAAACGTTGATCCGCCGTCATAGCAACATATCTCCCAGTCAAGAATTGCAATGGTTATATCGAAACTTACTGCAGGAATATCGTCAATATGTCCGAAGAGGAGATTTCCATGACATTTCGACCTTTTCACAAGTCACCAAGGAGTTTGAACTACTGAGAAACGAACTTCAGCAGACGTCCCATAGACGAGTAGCGTTCGATAACGTACCGTCCGATACTGTCGAAACGAGGCTAAATCGGGAAACCCAGCGAGCCGTTAGGGCTGAAGATTATCCGAATACCAGTAACCATACAAATGCTATTCAGAGCCAACGAACAAACCAGAATGGATCAAGACACATGTCTACCCCTCCCCGTAGACCCCTCAACTCTGCAACATCAACATCCCCTGCCACTTCTAACGTAATCTGTTGGAGATGTGGTCAGACAGGGCACTATCGTACTGATTGTATGCAGAAGCCGCAAATATTTTGCACCCGATGTAAAACAAAAGGAGTATTGTCAAGAGATTGTCCATGTGGCCGCGCGGGAAACTAGAGCAGCGCTGCACGCAAACCTCGGTGCAGCGCGGACCCTCGACGAATCGAAGCAGCGAAACCATGGTCATTTTACGATACGACAATCGCCCGACCCTCAAGATCCGGTACCGGGTTATCGAATATACAGCCCTCCTGGATACTGGGGCGGCCAATTCTTTTATTGGAAAGAATTTGACTCAGATGTGCCGTAACTCTAAAGCAACTATAGTCAAGCCAACGCTAAGGTGAGCAACGGTACCAACGAATCCATTTCCGAGGCCTATAAAATTAAATTCCAGATTGGAAATCAGGTTTTGAATGAAGTATTCCACACTCTGGAGAATCTGGTGCCCGAAGTCGTGATTGGAATGGATATTCTGTGAAAGCACCGATTCAATATAGGGGAGCGCCGGGAGAGTTTGGACAGGGGGAGGCATTGGACACATTCAAAACTGCCGCCTAATTGGGAAGCAATTCAAAACAAATACTTAACCGGAAGCGCAATTGAATATCCTTAGTGCTTGTCTAGACACGAAGTAGGTTAGTCGCACCGTTTCGACGCATCACCATTTTCACATTTTTCCACGTGTTTGTTCTAATATTTGATAGGTTTAAACTGTGCCTTTTAACAAACTGTTTTGTGTTTTTTGAATTGCGGGTTTAATTGCATTATTAGGTAAGCTTTACAAGTAAAAGTTTGTTGTTATTTTTAAGATATATAAACATGCTTCAATATTTTTTTAACGTTATTAGTTGAACCATGTTGTGGGAGGGTTTGGACACCTATCCAAACCGTCCCGCACAGAAAAAATGCCTTCCAAGTACAAAAGGTTGACAGACAGGACCTTTTGTTCAGCAGACATGAAAGTCGCAACAGAAGATGTTTTGTCTGGAAAGTATTCCTATAGGAAAAGCGCAGAAGAGCATAATGTGAAAAAATCAACTCTGGCATTATAGGTCAAAAAAGCAAAGGACTTGGAATTGAAAATGTTTCATTTTCTCCACATTTCGTTACATGTCAAGTTTTATCTAATGAATTAGAAGCGTCACTTGCCTGTTATCTTAAAACTTGCTCGAACATGTACCATGGTTTAACTCCAAAGGCAACGCGCAGATTAGCATATGAGTTTGCGGAAAAAAATCACGTTAAAATTCCTGACTCTTGGAAAGCAAATAAATTAGCTGGAAAGGATTGGTTCACGGGTTTTTTAAATCGACAACCCCATTTGTCCATAAGAACTCCGGAAAACACAAGTTTAGCGAGAATTTCCAGTTTTAACAAATCTACGGTTGGGGCATTTCAAGCTAAGTTAGAGGAGGTCCTGAAGAGGCACGAATTTACTAGATCAGACATATTTAATTTGGACGAGACGGGTGTGACCACAGTTCAAAAAACGCAAAAAGTGGTTGCGACGAAAGGCCAGCATCAAGTGGGTAAGGTCACTTCACGTGAAAGAGGACAGCTGGTGACGCAAGTAGGCATCATTGGAGCGAATGGAATAGCACTTCCTCCAGTGTGGGTGTTTCCAAGGAAAAAGTTTGACAAACATCGAATGTTAAGTGGTATTCCTGACGAGTATGGCGCAACCGGCTTAGTTCATTCATCTGGATGGACGACCTCGGATAATTTTTTACGTGTTTTAGAACACTTCGTAGCTCATGTTCGATGTTCTAAAGAACGTCAAGTCATCCTCATAATGGATAATCACGAATCCCATTTATCTGTTCCTGCAATTGATTACTGCAAAGAAAATGGTATTACGATCCTAACTCTGCCACCCCACACATCTAACAAATTGCAACCTTTAGATCGGACTATTTTCGGCCCATTTAAAAGATATTTTAACCAAGGAGCAGATGACTGGATGCTCTCTCATCCAGGACAGACTTTGTCGATATATAACCTGGCAGCAATATGCATGATAGCTTGGGATCGATCTGCAACTCCCTCAAACATAAAATCTGGATTCCGTTGCACTGGAATTTGGCCATTTGATAAAAATATTTTCAGCGAAGAAGATTTCCTTTGCTCGTTTGTTACAGACAGAGTAGCACCTCCAACAGAAAATAAGGTTTTAGAAAAAAATGTAGATGCATCATTACCATCCACCTCTTCTGCACAGCCATTACCGGAGCCCCAAACTCGAGCTGAAATCGATCATCACAAACAAAATTTTGTATCGCCATCCAAAATAAGACCATATCCAAAAGCTTCAGAACGAAAAGCATCTAGAAAAGGTCCTCCTAAAAGAAAATCCATAGTGGCGACCGATACTCCAGAACGCGATGAAATTGCACAGAAGAAATTAAAGAAAAATAGATCAGAAATTGATCTGAAGAATATAAAGAAAGCAAAGAAAAAAGTTATGAGCGACTCTTCTTCCGATGAGGAAGAAGTCATTTACAAAGATTCGTCCTCAGACCTGGATTTGGAACAGGATGATGATGAGGATGAGGACCTTACAAAACTTGAAGTCCAGAGTTTCATAGTTAGTAAAGTATTTGGAAAAAAATCAGTTAGACATTATGCCGCTAAAATAGAAGAAGTTGTCCTGGATGGCTACAACGTAAAACTTTTGAAAAAGCAAGTTGCTTCCAACCGTTTTAGATTTAGTGAGGAGCCTCCAGCATTTGTGTCATACGAAGAAGTGATATTGAAACTACCGAATCCTTTGACAGACCGATCTGCTCGATATGCAGATATGATTTATTTCAATATCGATCTTACCGAGTACAGTTTATGCTGATATCATCGTTTTGTAGATATTAGTTTTGCTCGTTTTTGCTTTAAAAATAATGTTGTTGATCAAATAAATGTATCTTAAAAACAGATGGTTTCTTGGGCATGTCAGTCACGTCTAACGATACACTAACGGGGTAACAACGTAAGTTACGTCCAGCAGTGTCGAAACGAATAGCAAAATTTTCCTGCTGTCGCTAACCGGTTATGAGGGAGGGTTTGGACATATTACATATGTACGTATATGTGTCTGTCACTCATGACGTTGTAATACTTTTTGAATGAAATAAAGGAATATGTATGTAAGATGTATAAGTCAATCGATCTAGCACCAAAAATTTAGTTACTTCTCACTTATGTCAATGTCATAATTATTTATTTAAATATTGTCTAAACCCTCCCGGCTCCCCTAGATTTACAGACCCCTCAAGTAAGATTGAACGGACAAGTAGTAACGGAGAACGACTTAACGACACTTTGCACATCTCGGACAACTTGGATGTTCCAAATCTTTCAACAGCCGAAAAAGTAAAGCTCCAGTCTTTCCTGGAACAGGAGCTTCCTGGTTTTGAGAATATTCGCGGCACTACGCCACTGGTGGAACATGAAATCCGGCTAATAAAGAAAGACCCTATTAAACAGAGATACCGACCGCAAAACCCGAAGATGCAGGCCACTATAGACGCTGAAGTGGACAAAATGCTCGAAGACGGAGTTATTGAACCCTCCGATGGTCCATGGAGCTCCCCGATTGTAATGGTAAAGAAGAAAGATAACAGTTATCATTTCTGCGTGGATTTTCAGAAGATTAACTCTGTGACGAGGAAAGATGCTTATCCATTGCCGTATATAAATGCGATCCTGGACAAGCTCCGTAAGGCAAAGTACATATCCAGTATTGATCTAAAACAAGGATATTGGCAAGTACCGCTTACTTTAGAAAGCAGGGCAATAACGGCATTTACCTTACCTACCAGAGGGTTGTTTCATTTTAAAGTGATGCCGATTGGTCTGCACTCAGCACCGCCACTTTCCAGCGACTAATGGACCGAATAATTGGACCTGAGCTGGATCCTTACTGTTTTGCCTACTTGGACGACATTATTGTACTAGGAGAGACCTTTGAAGAACATTTATCTCACCTGGAAGAAGTTTTTCGACGTTTGAAGAAAGCAAACCTAAAATTAAATCCTGAAAAATGTCGTTTGGTCGCAAGTCTCTGAAGTATCTAGGACACTGGGTCACACCAGAAGGTATTCGAACCAATCCGGATAAAGTAGCCTCTATTTTGGAGTTAGCTACACCGACAAATGTCACAAGTCTTCGACGATTTCTAGGTATAGCTTCTTGGTACCGAAGATTTGTTCCTGGATTCTCACAAATTGCGAAACCTCAATAACTTGTTGAAAAAGAATAGCAAATGGCAGTGGCAAGAGGATCAAGAGGGAGATTTCGAAAAGCTCAAGGAATGCTTGACAAAGGCGCCAGTTCTGACTTGTCCAGATTTCCAGAAACCATTCGTACTTCAAACTGATGCCAGCGATAATGGTTTGGGAGCAGCCTTGATTCAGCATTTACATGATGGTGATCATGTCATTGCCTATGGTAGCCGCAGTCTTACCTCATCCAAAAAGAAATATACAGTCACGGAGAAGGAATGTCTAGCTATAGTATGGGGTATCGAAAAGATGAGACCATATCTGGAAGGATATCGCTTCGTGGTAATCACTGATCACCAGTCGCTCAGGTGGCTGCACTCTCTGAAGAATCCCAGCGGTAGACTGGCCCGATGGAGTATTTATCTACAGCAGTATGATTTTGAAATTCGATACCGGAAAGGGGTGCTCAATAAGATAGCGGATGCGCTGTCTCGAAACCCACCACCATCCGAAGAAGAATTGCTGACTATTTCTGAGACTGATATTTGTCCATGGTATGACAAGAAAAGATCCGAAGTACAGAGTCACCCAGATCTGTTTCCCGACTTCTGTGTTCGAGACGGAAAACTTTTCCGAAGCTAGATATAACAGATGCCAAAGAGGCTGAAATGCACGACCCATGGAAACTGTGTGTTCCAAAATCAGCACGGCCCCGAGTTCTAAAATCACGATCAACCCACCGCTGGACACTTAGGTATTGCCAAGACTGCATCCCGGATAGCTGCCCGTTATTACTGGCCAGGAATGTTTCGCGACATCACCCAATACGTTCGAAGATGTCGGTCTTGTCAAGAGTATAAAACATCGCAACAACAGACGCCTGGAAGAATGCAACCAACGACTGTCCGAGGCCCGTGGGAAACTGTGAGTTCAGATTTAGTGGGGCCATTGCCGAGGTCTACGAAAGGCAACTGTTACGGCTTAGTTTTCCAAGACAGATTTACCAAATGAATTGTTTGTAAGGCTATCAGAACCACTACTGCTAAGGCAGTGAGCCAAGCCTTATACGACGAAATTCTGATGCGTTTTGGGAGACCGGCCACGGTTATCACCGACAATGGCACGCAGTATACTGGTCAGCAGTTCCGACAGCTTTTGAAAGAATTTGGAATAAATCATCGATTTACACCACCATATACACCTCAAGCTAATCCCGTAGAACGAGCAAATAAGACGATCAAAACGATGATTGCTCTATATATATATATATATATATATATATATATATATATATATATATATATATATATATATATATATATATATATATATATATATATATATATATATATATATATATATATATAGCAGCAATATATATATATATATATATATATATATATATATATATATGTATATATATATATATATATATATATATATATATATATATATATATATATATATATATATATATATATATATATAATATATAAAGTTAAGAATAAGACTTACTTAACGTGGTACAGAAAATACCTTCATAAAAACTACATTAAACATGGTTTGTGTTGATAACTCCACCGTGAAAGCATCGCTGACCAGTCAACCACAAGGACTCTTCTAAGGCGGTTAAGCCGCCAAATATAAGTTAGAACATTAGAATAATTAAGAGATGTTAGAAATTTTTAAATTAAAGAATTTTTTGCGTCTCAATCCGCCACAGCCTTGTTCGACATCCATAGATCACTTTTACTAACTTGACTTCTGACAATTGACTTTTGACGTTTGGATGTCGCGGTTGTCGCCTGTCAATTGTTTTGCGCCTCCACGCTCGGATTGAGACGCAAAAAAAAAAAAAAATTATTTAATTTAAAAATTCGTCCAGTTGGAACATATATAATAATAAATTAAAAGTATTCCAGGGGAAAAGAGAGGAAAAACCTGTATCGTCTCTGATATCTGTCAGGATACTGTTGAAAGTGTCATCTTTTTGCTCGAAGTTTTCAGGTCGATTAAAAAGATGACATTTACAACAATACTTTGCTGAAACTTTCACAAATATCAGAGAGAGAGTACAGGTATTGCCCCTCTTTTCCTCTGGGATGCTGTATATCTGTTGTTCTTTGTTTATCTATAGTTCTCAGAGCATAATGCCGAACACGACTACAGTATATGATAATTTCAATATCCTAAGTGGAAAGAAAAAAGATCACCTTTCTGTTTTGTACTATGGTCCCTTTCTTGATAGTAGTAGTCTTTGTCTTGATAGTCCCTCGTTGATATTTAGGAAGGTATTCATAAAATATATATTTTATTATCGATCCTGGGATGAACAAATATAAAATTCAATTTGATTTGATGATCGGGTGAACCGATGATCCTTTTTTGTCACCTAAATCAGGAGAATGACAATGAGCATGTTAGGATGAAAAAAAATTATTTATCAACACTTACCTACACGTTAGTCCAAGGAGTTTTTTCAAAAACCTATATTTGCCTAAATAATTTATGTATTACAAAAAAAAATGACGACAAGTCAACTTCAACGACGCGACAAGAAGAAAAGTGGTGTTCGAATAACAAATTATGGGTCACCAAAAATTGTTTTTGTCTCCTTTCGACGCACACTTTAGAATGAAAAAGAGATGAACTGTAATACTGAAAGAACGTCAAGGTTTTATCTGTCACTCTTGTCCAAATACGTTTAAATTAAAATATACGGCGGCCTCCCCATAAGAGCAATGAGAGAATTTATGTCCCAGAATTGAAGGACAGAAGATCGAGTTTGACATAAGTCCATCCTTGTTCAGTAGCTGGATGTAATGCACATGCGCCGAAATGCTACTTTTCTATTGGCCGAATGGTGTCGAGATGGGTTATCGATTTATTTTTGGACGCGTCGTCGGCGTGGATTTTGTTTTCAGTTTGGACTTGGGTAGTCGCCATTAGTGTTTTCTCTAACTTTCTGTGTTTTCCACGTGTACTGTGTTTTCGTTTGTATTTTAATCTTTATGCGTTTATTGACAATTTTGTGATTTAGTTTTAAAGACTTTTGCTGTAGTTTAATTAATAGAACAATGGGAATGGGCTACTGCTTTTTGTGTGGTAGAAGCCAACTAAACCAAATTAATAATAGAAATTTTTCTCGATGTTCGTTTGTATCATGAAAGCAAAATCAGAAATGAAAGGGATGTTAATATAAGACAAAAATATACGAAACTAATTTTATTCAAAAATCAATAATTGTTAAAAGCATTATATTTAGTCTTACTATTTTAAAATAAAAAAGACATTATAATGTAAAGACTAAAAATAGAGACTACATAAGGCTAATTATAATGCTTACACAGTTACACACAAACTGTCTTATTGTAAATTATTATTGTTTTTTTTTCATAATATAAAAGAGTATTTACAATGCAACAATGTAAATAATTATATTTTTTGTATCTAGCTTGATTTATGTATAAACTTAATATGTACATACTTTTAGTTATATTTGTTTAATAAAAAATATGTTAATAATAAAGAATTACTTTTGTTTCATTTTAAACCAGGACTGATGTTGATTATTGATCAAAATACATGGGCAGTAAAAGAAACAATAGACAGTAAAAAATGTACTGTTATACTTTGTTTTGCTGCAATTTTTAAGTCGAGTGAAATAGATATGCAATTTGTAATACTAAGTTCTTAAGACAGTTCCTTAATTGAGGTTTTACTAAATTATTTTTTGAATTTTAAAAAAAGTGAAATAGATATGCAATTTGTACTACGAAGTTTTTAAGACAATTTCTTAATAATTGTGGTTTTACTAAATTATTTTTTGAATTTAAAAAAAAAATATCGTACCTGTCACTTTTTTTCATTCGTTTTATTTAATAATAATTGTCTAACACAACAAAGTCTACTTAGAACGATATGATATAAATATAAATGAGTTCATTAAAAAATGGTCTGATTAAAATTAGTACCTAAATAAGCAAAAATTATCCCCTCATAAAACAAGAAATTAAGGAGTTCAGTAAAAGGATTGCAACTATATATTTTATTCAGTAAATTTTCATAATAGTAAGTATAAAAGCACAATCTCTAAAACGACAATATGAATAATGTATATTAAGATTTAACTCGAGTTTCAGTGAAAAAACTATATTGATATTAAAATATTTTAATACCTTCAGAATACTAATTACATACCATAAAATAGGAGTTTTTACGATGCGGGAAGCCTATCTAGAAAAAGAATTTTAGAAATCAGCAATGGGATTCTGTAAGCTCTGTAGCAAGAAATTTCCTATCGAGCCTATGCTATTTGTATACGATTGATGAGTCACTAGACAGGGAAATGTTTACAGAATCGCACTGCAGATACCTATTACGCTACTAGGAGCCGCCGATTGTGAGACAGATATAAAATAATTTTTATATACCTATTCCATAGCCTATTCTTTTAAATGTATTCTTTAATATTTATAATAAACTTATTTTAACGAGTAGAAGTATTGCACCAGCATCAAAATTAACACTACTTGTAAAAAACTGTTGCTCCTTGAGTTTGTAATAGATATAAACAAAATAAACATTCGAAAATAACTAAATCGAAGATATCTGAAAACTTTTGGTCGAAAAAGTGTTTTGCCATAACATGTTGGATACAATTAAAATATCTCAATTGATAAATATGCGCATAATGTTACATTATCAAACTTATTTGATTCAGAATATTTAACAAAAAGCTTCCAATTTTTCGAAAGATTTAATTCAATTATTAGAACGTCTTTAACCTCAACTTAAAATAAATAAAACCAAAAAACAAAACATATCATATGATTTGAAACTGTCCAATCAAAGTGCTTACAGATCGAGCAAGCGCCTCCGAACAAGGATAGACTTATGTAGGAAATGCATTGACATTCTATAGCCATCCTTCAACATCGGGACAGGAATTTAAGCGGTACCCTCCGTATATTTTATTTGAACGTATTTGCTCTTGTCAATAGTTTATCGGTAAGGAAGATTCCTAGAAAATCGCTTGTAGTCAAGTTTTCAACCATTGCCAGTTCTCCCATAAGAAGTGTCATCCACCTGCTCCCAACCATCACCGGTCAATCTAGCTGACCGAATAGAGGCCACGCCCGGAACCTGGAACCCTGAACTCAGAGAGGCGATCCGCGCACTGCGACCGCCCACTGCTTCTCTCGTTCGACGCTATCGAATGTGGCTGACAACCAGCAAAGGGCGCCGCATTCAAGTGACCATCCCAGCGGACTATGAGAAGTAGGAGTATAATCAGTCAGAGAGTCCAAGTTTGAGTTTCTTTCTATTAGAAAAGCTTGAGTTGGCTTTTGTTTTTTTTTGTTGGTTAACATATGTTTTTTTCCTAGGCCTAGATTCCCTCTAAACCCTATTTATTGGCTGTATACGTCATTAAAATTCGAATCAACTAATAAATTTGAATTATTCCAGATCACCTCCTCATTAGTCGTTAAAAAATAAAAACAAAACCTACCGTCCAGTCATCCAGTCTAATCGCCCCAACGTCAAGAACAGAGGAACGGGATGTCGTCGGGCGAATCCTTTGTCTCAGTGCTGAAAGAAGTTATAGAGCAGTTGAGGCTCGAGCCTACGGAGCGCCGCCGTCCCACGTCGTCCAGGACGGAGTTACGTCTTAAATTTTCCCGTAACGAGATCTCCATTAGTACCACCGACCGCAAATACTAGAGCCACACGAGGCCCCATTACAGTGACGTACACTGCCCCTGTCGTACGTTCGTCCGTTTCAACGGTACGACACCCCGGAGAAAGACGAGGTCCATCAGCTCCAGCGACCACCATGGCCCCTGTCGTGCACCCCTCCACCAGCACAGGATGCTACTCCAAGACTAGTACTACTTTAGTCCGACCGACCGCCAGTTATACACGGGCTCTAGCTCCGGTATACTACCGAGATCTTGAGGCCATTCGACTTCTGGAAAATCCTTTTGGACCAGTACTATATAAACCACACGACCTAAATAGGGTTCCCATTGAATTGAATGTATGCTGGCGCTGTGGAACCCCGGGTCATACCAGAGAACGTTGTGAAAACGGGGCCCTATTGTTTTGCTCCCGATGTGGCACCATCGGTATTAGATCAAGAGATTGCCCTTGCGGACAATTCCGGGCGGTTCGCCCAACCAATTCACAATCCAACACCGGAGACCAACAAAGGAAAAGAAGACCACGACAGAGAGCCAACATTCCGCGCCGGAGGGGCCCGGACTCAGCAGAGACTCGCGGGAGGTGTCCGCATTGCCGACACTGAGGATTGAAGTCATCCGCCGGAGAATCTATGGTTTTTTTTAATATACTTGGGATGAAGGAAAATTTAAGTATATAGTATCGGAAAATTTTAGTTTTCTTTTCTCTTCTCTTTGTTAATTTAGCTTAGCTTAAGTAGTAGTAAAATGTTTTTTTTTCTTTTAAAATAATAAATTTTGGTTTAGTAAGTTTTTTTTTGAAAATGTTTTATTTACCGGAGGTTTAAGACTAGTAAAATATTAGATGTAAGTAAAGACTAATAAAATTTTGTTTTTGAGGTTGTTTTATTTGACTCTGCATAGTTGAAAAAAAAAATATGTTCCTATATTTTTTTTATCCGAAGCAAGGGGGGTATGTAACGACGTTACTTAAATTTTGTGATAATTAATTTGTAGTGATTAAATTAGTTAGCTTTTAATTATCAAATTGTTTATAAAATTATTATTTTGTTAAAAGCAAGTAGTAGAGTCTTGGTTCGTATCGATCTATACTCGCGGGGATCCGGCGCGCGCCTTTGCCCCCACTGTGTGCTGCTTTCCCCACTCCTGTAGACGAGAGCAGTACCGTTAGAAAATCAAAAGTCGTCAGTTGCTTGGTACCTGGGTTGGACGTTCATTTAGTATGACATCAGTGCAAAGAAGAGAAGTTTTAAAAAACTGCTGGTCCCCACCTGCCTGTGATGACTTTGCCAAGGATGCTGTTCAGTTGAAGAGGAAATTTAAATTCAGCTGGCTATCTGAATATGCTCCTTGGCTTGCATACTCCAAAAAGTTAAAGGGCGCCTTGTGCATTTATTGCGTACTATTTCCTCCTACTAATGTGCAAGGTGTCCTAGGCTCGTTTATAGTGCGGCCGTTTACCCGCTATAAAGATATGCACGAGTTTGCCGAATCGCATACATCATCTCAATGGCATAAATCGGCGGCTACAGCTGCAAAACCTTTCGATGAGAACTTACCAGTTGATGTGCAGCTGATCTCCGCTCATAAAAGTGTAATAGAGGCGAATAAGAAGATTTTAGCATCAATAGTTTCAACCGTCATTTTTTGTGGGACACATGATTTGACTTTAAGGGGCAAAGAACTGCACGAGGGTGTTTTCGAAGACCTAATTAAACTTAAAATCGAGGCTGGTGCCCAAAATTTAAAAACACACCTTGAGAAGGGCGCAAAAAATGCCGCCTACCTGTCACCACAAATTCAGAATGAAATTATTGACCTTTGTGGTGAGGTCATAAGAGAGGATATCATTGTGGATATTAAGAAGGCATGCGCATACAGTATACTAGCCGATGAAAGCAGCGATATTTCCGGAAAAGAACAACTCTCTATTGGCACGAGGTTTTTTGATGAAGAACATATGATGATCCGAGAAGAATTTCTGGGGTTCGTGGAACTAAGTGCCATGGACGCTATTTCTATAGCCTCAGCCATTGATAGTTTCCTAGCCAACGCAGGCCTTGACCCTAAAAAGCGCGTCGGACAAGGGTACGATGGGTGTTCCACCATAGCTGGAAAGGACGGCGGTGTACAAAACATTCTTCGGGAAAAGTACAAGCACGGGCTGTATTTTCATTGTGCTAGCCACAAACTTAATTTAGTGGTGAACGATTTAAACCAGTTAGCAGTGATTCGAAATACAGTGGCCAATAAACAATAAAAGAAATAATAAAATTTTTTTCGAGAATCCCCACTTCGGCGAAAATTCGTTCCAAACGTGCCGGTGTTCTGTGAGACCCGCTGGTCTCAGAAATACAGAAGCATCTCCATTTTTAGAGAGCATTATGTAAAAATGGTGGCTGCTTTAAAAACACTCTCAACAGATGGCAATGCAGCTACGAGAAAAGCTGCTTTTCAAATGCATTGTGCTGCTTCAAATTCTGACTTTATTGTTAGTGTCTGCTTAATAGCAAAATATTCTGCATTTTTGAGGAAAAAAGCACATGAACAGGTTCATCACGAACACATGCTAAGGAAACAATTAGCTCGCGAATCCCGAAATGAAGACAAAGAAATAGCAAAAAATAATTCAGAGGTACCATCATTTAACTTTGACCTCGAAGCAGTGCTTACGACTCCAAAGAGTTCAACAGGACAAATATTTTACCTACGAAAATTGGCTATTTATAATCTGACTATCTTAGGGAATCTGACTTAGGGAATCAGGATGGAATCATCTGCTACCTTTGGGATAAAATCCAAGGAAAAAGGGAGTCAAACGAGATATTCTCGTGTATTTACAACTACATTATCAATCAAGCCAACATTACTGAGATTCGAATGATGTCGGACGTGTGTGACGGACAACAAAAAAATTCGCATTTTGCTGCTATGTGCTTGAAACTTCTTACGGATCACAATAATTTAAAAATTATTGGTCACAAGTTTTTTGAATCACGACATACCGATGGAGTGTAATTCACTCCATTCGAAAATCGAACAGAAATCAAAGTATGTTGTTTATTCACCCGAAGGTTGGGCTCAAAATAATAAGAGGTGCTCGAACACAACCACGTCCTTTTGAAGTCAGATCTATAATGTTTGATCACATCTTTCATTTCAAGTCCTTTGGAACACAAAACTATAAATTGAACCAAATTCCCTGGCAACAAGTTTGCTGGTTACGATACATTAAAACCGATGCCGTGGTAACAATGTCCTATAAAAAAATTTTTGGAGAAGAATTTCAACAAGTAAACAACATGGGAAGTCGTGGAAGACCCAGAAACGTTGATCTGAAGAAAGCTTATGATAAGCAGTTGCCAATTGCGATTGCTAAATATAAAGATCTTCAAAAAATGTGTAATGATTTAACAATTCCAAAGGACTATCATAACTTTTATAATTTTATAAATACCGATAAAAATATTAGAGACAATTTGCCGGAGCCAAAAGAAAGTGAAGATTCAGACGAAAATTAAATTATTCTAAGATATGATTTAAGTGTTTTACTATATTATTATTTTTATAGTTTTCAATGTTAGAAAATTCTTTTTGTTCCACTTTTACCATAATAAAAATTGATACAATTTCACGTATATGCATTTTATTGAAAAAACTACAATGCCATATTCACGAATGTAACTTTTTTCGAAAATTGATGGATATATTCGTAAATCCCTGATGATATTTCTAAAATATATATCTAACATCTGTTAATAGAAGTACAACAAAAATATCGCATTAAATCCTGATTTTTAGTAACTCATTGAAAATTTAAAAGTTGAATATCTTTTAACGCTTTTAACGCATTTTGCACATTCGTGGGTGTGGCATTGCACCGAAGATATTAGATACCATTCCCTGAGATAAAATCAATGTTAAAAACCCAGATAACTACAAGCCGATTGAAAAACTATATTTGGGAGCAAAAACAACACAGTATATTTTACAACAAAATTTGTCTATTGATAAACTTCATATTCTTCGAAATTTTCGTTGTCTTGAATTTTATATTGAAGCAGCAGTTCAAATTATCAAAAGGTATGAGTTTTAAAAAAAACATCATATTAAAAAATATATCTCTTATAAATCCGACAACTATTTTTGAAGCTAATGACGAGTCTTTAATACCTTTGACAATCAATTTTCCAAATTTAGTCACCGAAAATGGCATTCAAAAAATCGATAATGATCGAAAAATTATAAGGATGATCAATCAATAACATTATTTAGGTTAAATGTTCAAGCTGAAAATTATACGGATAGCAGGCAGGTATATCCTTTGCTCACAAAGTTTGCGTTCAACATATTCCCTACTCTTCGGCAGATGCTGAGAGAAAGTTTTCTCAAATTAATTTGTTAAAAAGAAAATAGAGAAACTTACTATCTACAAATACTATCGTCGGATTAATGAATTCAAAAGAATACTTGGATAGTGAATGCTTTAATTTAAAGATTTAACAATGTTGCAAACAAATGTTATCTTATCATAACAATAATATGTATAAAAAATCCGACCAGTTTTCTGACTCGGAATGAGTCTGATGACTGTACAGATTATTTTATTATGATAATATAAATTTAAGTAATACAAGGATTTTTTATTTCTGAATTTTGTGGAGAGTCATTTTTAACTATTCAAAAGAATACTGAGATAGTGAATGCTTTAAGGATTTAACAATGTTGCAAACAAATGTTTTCTTATCATAACAATAATATGTATAAAAAATCCGACCAGTTTTCTGACTCGGAATGAGTCTGATGACAATACAGATTCAGACTATTTAGTCCTATTGCTGTCAAAAGTCATTAACTAACATTTTTCCGAATAACCTGAAAATCCAATTACTAACTAAATTTTGAAGCGGAGAATCGATTGAAAAATCATTAACTACGATTTCTGGCTATTTATGCTGTATTTTAATACCGAATAGTCTCTAACAACAACTTTATGCAATGTAATTAACCTTTAGACCCGTTTTTCTTGGAAGTATTAAAAAGTAAGTTAGTGACTTTTGGCAGCAATAGGACGATTTTATTATGATAATATAAATTTAAGTAACACAAGGATTTTTATTTCTGAATTTTGTGGAGAGTCATTTTTAACTATTCGTTTTTAGGACATTTTTAGACCATTGAGGTAACTAGCTACTGTCTACTGTTTTATTTTCAAAACTACCGCTTTTTTGTGTCATGTCTACCGTTTTTCTTATTTTCGACCTGGCAATACTGGACAGAACACGAAAAAGGGCGTTCTGAAAAAAGAAGCAAACTCAACTCGATTTTAGAGTCATGATAGAACCACTTTAAGCATGGCTGGCTCGGACAAATCAGAGAAAGGCGTCACAATTATGACTTAAACCTGAAAGACCAGCCCCAAGACGTCTACAACATGGATGAGAAAGGTTGCAGGCTCACTATCCACCATCAACAACGTATTATATCCGAGAAAGGTATCAAACGAGTTCACATGGTAGCGCCCGAACACGCCGAAAATGTAACCGTTGTGGCCTGCTGCAACGCCATGGGAAACTCTATTCCACCGATGATATTATTCAAGGGAAAACGTTTGAAACCCGAATTTTCTGATAATTTACCCTATGGTTCCATTGTCAAAATGGCACCCAAAGGAAGCATGACAACGGAGATTTTTGTCGAGTTTTTGAAGTATTTTGCGAAGTACAAGTCTAACGAACCATCTGAACTTCTGATTTTTGATGGGGCATCCAGCCACTTGGATCTAACCATTGCAGAAACTGCAGACTCACTTGGTATAACTCTGTTTTGTTTGCCATCAAATACGACCCACGAGCTTCAGCCACTGGATAGGGCTGTATTCCGTTCGTTCGAAGCAAACTGGGATCAAGAACTCTTAAGATATTTGGATACTTACCCTCAAAGAACACTGAACAAAGCTAGATTCAATATTATTTTTTTCCCGTGTTTGGCCAAAACGTACGACGCCGGAAAACATCATAAGTGGATTTAGAGCTACTGGGCTGTTCCCTCTAAATCCAAACATTTTACCCGATTCAGCTTTCGCGCCCTCTTTGTTAACAGAAAGGCCAATGCCTAATGATTCAAGAGAGCCAAATGCAGAAGCCTCAGACTCCTCAGATGACGATATTCCATTGGCAGCAGCAAATTCAAGGCAGTTGCTTTCGAATCCTCTCCAAATAAAACTAATCAGTCTTTCCAAGAAATGCTTCCGACTCCTGTTGACGTAAAAAAAATGTAATTGTTCGGCGTAAAGCACTAAACTATAAAGCTGCGCATGTCACAAAAGATATTTTCCGTACTGTCGATGAACCAAATGTGGCGTCCTCTATTCAAAAAAATCCAGTTCCGTCAACTTCCATGTTGCAGAACGTCATCGCAAAGTCTACACCTAAAGAAGATAGAGTCTTGGTCCTGTGGGGCTTGTGAAAAAAATGAGCAACTAGATATGAGAATGTGTGTAAAATGCCACTCATGGTACCACGAGATCTGCGTTGGCCTTGAGCCTGACGATAGTGACGACTTTGAGTGCTACTAATTTTTTCGTCTTTTTTATTTTACTTATTTAGTTCTTGAGAGTTTAGCTGTAACTTTTGCGATTTTTTGGTGTCATCAGAAGAACAGATTTCATTTATTTTAAACGTAATGTATGAAATATTTTTAAGAGTTACGTTAATTTTCTTAGACATTTTGCTCATCTTATATTTTGAATAAAATAATACTGAAATAATTATGTTTCTAAATGCTTTTTAATTGTGGGCCATATAACCCGAATCGTAGGATAATATGGCACAAGTGCATGAATATTTTTTTAACGTATATTTTAAAAATATATGATAACTCTGGGCATAAAACGGAATATTCATAGGAAGCCAGTAAAGTTAACTGTAACTTTGCATAAAAAAGAATTCAGGCTTATGGTCAAGGTTAAAAGTTATAAGTACTTTCATTTTACGTGGGCCATATTTGCCGCAGGTACCTTATGATTTGGTCCATTGTCAAGGAAAATATAATGAACTTGCAGATTTTTTAAGTAGGAATCCTACCGATGAGACTTTTGATCCTTCCAAAATAGATTCTGAACGATTACTTCCACCTTTTACAAATTTTACTTTTGAAAATATTCCCTCTGCTACTCATAATGTGACGCAATATGATCTGTATGAAAAAGTGGTTGAGGTTTAACAACGGTCTATTCCTATTAGAAGGAAAATTGCTAAATGGAATGACCTTAATAGTAGGCAACCAAACCAATAATAAAGAAAAACGATTTTTGCGAACATATATGTGTTTCAGTTTTTTAACTAACAGTCATTCAGTTTTAGACACTCTGTATATATAAATCATTTGGCGTTTGATTTACATATCCCATTCTCAAATTTCCCTAATATTGTTTCTGTCGAGCGCTTCCGAGGTAATTCACAATAAAAATATTTTTAACACAACGTAGGTCCCTTTATTTCATTTAAATTGTTTGTTTTACAGTTGGCAAAAATGCTGTTGAAAAAGGTTGTTATACTACACCCTATAAAAAATTATGAAAAATGTTTTTCAAAAATAGCATCATTTCTACAGAAAGACGGACACGTTAAAGCTGCTAACTAAAGCCATGCTGGATAAGGATTTCAAAGAAACTTGCGACGAAAGTAAGTTCAAATTGAAAATATTACGGGCTTTATAACTGAAATTGAGTACATATACTAGTTTTAATGGCTATTCATGGTTAATTGGTGTCATCGACAAGTTTTGTTAAAGAATCATTTTTGTTTTTTGCTCAGTCTCAGCAAGAAACTTAAGAACACATAATGAATCTTAAACCAAGAAAATTGGCAATTGAGCCTTTTATTTTACGTCTCGGAGATCGAAAGTTTCTAACATAGTATGTGTATACATTGACAAAATTCTTCTTCTCTTTTAACATTACCATACCATACCGCCATTACTCGCTGACGAGTATTTGACACGCATCAGAAGATGGTCACGCAAGGCGTTTTCTTTCATGAGCTTTTCTGTGACTGAAAAGCCCGATACGTGATGTTATCTGTCTACCGCACTCCAGACATTCAAAAATCTCATTGCTTTGTTGCCTCTTTTACTTTTGGTTGTCGCTCTTAACTGACTTTACAATTTTTTTTTTATTTTGTGGTTTTTTATTGTGAGCTGTTTTTTTCCCACTCATTCTGCTTGGTAATTCCCTTTAAGTTTTCGTGGAAATATCCTTGAACCTTTTAAGTTGTCCACCCGACCTCCTCCTTGCAAATCACAAGCTCACCGTAAAGCAGAGATTTTGGTATGCGGTTTTTCTTGCATTCTGCATACGTGACCAGCCATCTTAAGCGGGACTTTGTAATCCTGACTTCAATACTCTCGCAGTTAGCTTTTCAAGAACTGATACGTTGAGACTTGATGGAACCATTTTATTCTTAGAGTTGTCTAAGATGTCTCTGTTGCAACTAGTTTAATGCGTTCATGTGTCGGCGGTACGGCACCCAAGTTTCGCTTCCATATAACATGGTGGGAATTATTATCGCTCGGTACACCACAAGTTTCGTTTTTGTGCTCAAGTCATGATTGTAGAAAACCCTGTCTTTTAATTTCCAGAATGCTCTTGAGGCGCTGCTAATCTTTTAACATTATTTATTTATTCACAATTTAGACATCCCAAAGGAAAGTAAAATGTTCTGCAACTTTATAGAAAAGGGGATTTATAAACATACTATTCCCCTTGAAACCCCTAAAATTCAAATAATTTCTGAATCGACTTTGCAATAAAAAAACTTTTCTAGTTTATTTTCTCTAGAAAAATTTTCTAGTTTTCTAGTATACGCAATAAATACTTTGAACTAAGCATTGGAGAAGATATCAGTGGTTCTTCCTCAAACGGAAATGTTCCTGTATGCGTCCAAAAATTCTATATAATTCACCAGAGAGATACATTCTACGCCAAAATCACCACCAACTATAAAAAAATTAAAGAGATTCGTCTTCAAATGAGAATAACCATGTAAGTGACACTAATTTGATTTGGAAAAACGTAGATGGAAGAAAAATTAAAATCATTACGTTCAGTGGCCCAAGCAAACCCAACCTGAATTTTGAAAATGTATGATAACCTCTTGAGTTTTTTAATTCTTTGTAGGCTTTTTCAGTTTTTTTTTAATTCGGTATCATAAAATATTGTAGTCGAGACTAACCGGTATCCTCCTCAGAAGCTGAACGTCTTGCAAATTATTTAAAAGTGGGAAGAGACACATGCCAAAGAAATAAGGACATCGTTGGCAATACTTATGCGCATGGGACTAAAAAAATCCCTTCGAATTAGATATATTTTAAATAAATCTGTGTCGACAAAAGTTTGGTTCCATTTTGAAATTTAGGTTGATAAATGTCTATAAAAACTTATGTAATATATTTACACTGATAGTCTTTGCATTCAAGAAAATGGCATACTATTTAACTCTGGTATGCTAATACCTCCAAGTTTCTATATTAAACTACCTCAAAGACTGAACACATCAAATGTTTAGTTATAAATTTGCGAAACTCTATTCTCAATAGATCTGCAGTTATAGATAATCAGTTAACCATAGGAAAACCCACAGCTAGCAAGCCCACTTCTAGTGCCATAACACCAACTACACGTGCGTATCTTCGTGCAGCACACAAACCTTATAGCCGTGCTGGAAAGGTAAATTTTTCGTCGGACTATAAGAACACTCTTAAAACAATATTACTGAATAATTACAATACAGCTGGGACTGGCTGAAATACAACAAATACAAAATTTCTCTGTCCAGCAGCCGAAGCCATCCCTAAAAAAATTGATAAAGTTTTATCGCCACCTTCATCAGTATTTGTCTCTCTTCAGGAATTCTTTTTTTAGGCAACAAATTATACGTGTTATAACTTTTTTTCTACAGAAAACGCAAACAGGTTAATGATACACGTTATTTGTAAGAAGGTTTACATAGTTCTAAAAACAAAACATGACTGTTTTCTTAAGCGCAGCTATTTAAATAGGACTCAGATATAAAATATACAGCACACAAACTACAAACCCAAGATTTTGTATTGGAACAAAGATTAATTTGTCTGTAATAGTCAAGAGATGTTGAAGGGATAAATTAAATTATATGCTTATGACACAACTCGCACTTGTACTCTGAATCATACTTATTCGGTATGATTGTGCCGAATGTCTCCATCAGAGAACTATATGATTCATAGACAATATAACTTAAAGCGGAACTCAAAGCGTAACTGGAACTTAAAACGGAACTCCAACTTAAAGCGGGATTCAAGAACCTGAAAGACTCCATCGCAACATGAGAAAAATCAAAGATTTTCGGATTGCCACGGGGTTTTTAACAGGACACAGTCTTCTCAACGAACACCTCAGTACATTGAAGCTAAGAAACAACGGCGAATGCAGATTCTGCGGGGAAAATAGGCAAACGCTAGGTGTAATATAAATAATACCATCACAATCTTCAGTAAATTTTGGATCTTTTTATTAGAACCATTTTTGCCTATCTGTTAAAATAAAGTGGTGGGGGAAGGTTTGATATGTTATTATTTAAACGTTAATAACTCCGGACTGGATGATCGAAATCCAACAAATGAGAGCTCGTTTAAAAGAACGTTTTTTACTCTATATTATGCCATATAAACAATACAAGTAAGAACGTAGACGCTAGGGAGCGCTATGTTACAACTTAACATTTCGCGTTTTTTTCAAAAAAATTAAATGCTGATACTAAAGAGTAATAAAAGCTTATAAAGTCAGAGAAAACCGCATCTTGATATCTTTTTTCAAACCAAAGTTATTAGCAACATTATAATAAATACGAAAAAATAAGCCCTTAATTACCTTATTTTTTTAATACGTTATCATTAGCCCTCTTGGTTATGACCATTCTAATAAAAAATAAGATAAAAAAGATTATTTTATTCAAAAAATCGACAATGTACTAGAATATCATAATACTAGGT